CTGGGCTGCAGGGACCCGAGAGTGTCAGACCTGTTGCAGAGCAGCCCCTCCCTGTGTACCTGAGCCTGGCAGCACCTTTTGGCCAAGTGTGTCCCCACCGGTGGCCCTGGTCAAGGAAAGCAGGGGTGCATCCTGGGGTCTTTGTGTTGCAGATTTTCTGGCCAGCTTCCCGGGAGCAGGTCGAGCATTGCCAGCTGGCTGGGAAGAATGTGGAGGTAAGCAGGGCTGGCAGCCCTTTTGCAGCTTACTACGGGTATTAAACACCAACATCACCCCAAAAGGGATCCCTGGGATCTGTCTGAGATGAGGTTGTTGAGCCAGCCAGAATTAAACTCAGCTTGCCAGCTGCCAGAGCAAGACCTGGCCAGGCTCCTGCATCCTGAGCAGACACACCATGGAGCTGGGCATGAGTGCCCAGACCTGGGCTCAGCCTACTAACAAACAACTCCCCTTCTGCAGACAGAGTGTGCCAACTTCATCCGCCTCCTCCAGCCCTTCAACAGGACTCATGTGTTTGCCTGTGGGACAGGCTCCTACCAGCCCGTCTGTGCCTTCATCCAGCTGGGAGCCAGGGGGAAGGTGAGGGACAGCCTGGCCAGAACCATACCCATCGCAGAAGGTGGCAAGAGACCTCCCCGCCTCACTGAGTGGAGGGTATAGGGAGCCTTGGAGCCAGGGGAGGGTGGCCAGCCAGCCTGCTCATCCCTGGCACTTACATGACCTTGCTGAGCACAGCAAGAAGCAGCCCTGGTGTGGCAGTGCCAGGGTACCCCATGGGGATGGGACCAGGTCCTGGCAGCCCCCTCAAGGGACCTGCTCATCAGAGCTGAGCACCTCCCATTCTTCTCCACATGCCCAGCTTGTTTCCAGCCTCGCCCATGGCTGAACATCTCCCCTTTGGCTCCGGCAGGGTCCCGGGGCTCCCCCCATGCGGTTGGTGACTCACTCCTTGGAATCAGGGCGAGGACGGTGCCCATACAGCCCCCATGAACCCTTCACAGGACTCCTTGTGGGTAAGAGGAGGGGGGAGCAGAGGTGATGCTGAGGGTGGGAGCCTGGGGATGGCCTGTGCTGGGAGGTGCTGGCAGCGATGCCTGCTCCTGCTGCGGACATGGGCTTGGTGCCCAAGTGCGTGCGGGTGAGAGGAGCCATCCCGCAGAGCCTGCTCCTGGCCCAGCTCACCCTCACCTCGCAGTTCCTGCACAGAATCACAAGTGCAGGTGCAGATCAAGCAGCACACACGGGTGGGGGTGTGCAGCATCAGCAGCCTTGTACCAGCACTGGGGAAGGGCTAGGCAGAAGCAGTGCTGGGCCGTGGGTCCGGAGGATGCTCCCAGCCAGGCTGTGCGACCTCCACCCTCCCTGCGCCTCCTGGGACACAGGGGAGTCCTGCCAGGGCACCTCCATCAGTGACACCCAACCCACCCAACACCCTTCTGACCCGCAGATGGAGAGCTGTATTCCGGCACCTCCAGTGACTTCATGGGCAGCAGCGCTGCCTTCTTCCGGACCTGGGTCCATGGGGCTGAGCAGAGCTACATCCGGACAGAGCAGAACCAGGACCACTGGCTGCACGGTAGGAACAGGGGTCATGGGGGCTTCTGCCTGCTGGGGAGAGGCTGGGGCCAGCACTGGGCCTGGAGCTCAGTGGTCTGGTTCCCTTCTCCTCTCTGGGGGGAGGCACTGATGCAGCCTCTAGTGGGACCCATGCTCCAGCATACACTCCACAGCCTGAGCACGTGGAATGGGGCTCTGCCATGGGTGCCCATGGGCTCCCTCCATACCCTCAGCGTCTCACACTGCTCCCAAGAGCAGTACCACAGGATCAGAGCAGGGCACAGGGTCACGTTGTGCTGTTCCTTCCCCTGCAGAGCCTGCGTTCGTCGGTGCTTATGCCATCCCTGATACTTACAACCCACACGATGACAAGGTCTACATCTTCTTCCGTGAGAGGGCTATGGAAGCTGGGCAGTGGGAGAGGAGGCACATCCATGCCAGGGTGGCCCGGGTCTGCAAGGTCAGTGACCAGAGGCCAGCAGGCCATGGCTGGGTGTCCCACCAGGTGGGATTTACCTCCTCTGGGCCAAGCAGGGTCCAACAGCAGGACATGAGGGTGACACAGAGCAGAGGGCTCAGGGCTGGGGGTGATCTGCTGTGGGGATGGAGGAGCGCAAGGCAGGGGAGCTCGGAGAGGGCTGATGCTGGCTGTTGGTGCCACAGAACGACGTTGGAGGGAAGCACAGCCTCATCAACCGCTGGAGCACGTTCCTCAAGGCCCGCCTGGTGTGCTCCATCCCCGGGCCCCATTTTCAGCACGCTGTGGAGGCCCCAACCCAGCCTGCAGCTGTAGCAGCACGGCTCGGCCATGGCTGCTCCTCCCAGCACACCCCGGGGAGGCAGGACTGGCATCAAGGATGCCCACTACATCCCCCGGACTGGTGCTCCACCTCCTGTGCCTCACTTCCACCCCTCTTGTTGCAGAGGACGTTTTCCTCCTGCGCACCCGGGACCCCCAGAATCCCCTCATCTTCGGCCTCTTCACTGTCTCCAGGTGAGCAGGGACACTGCTGGGATGGTGCTCGCCCCCAGTCTCTCACCATTACTGCTCTATGGGGAGCCCTGTGGGGCCGAAGGGCAGGA